GCTGTGGGCATGCGCGGGTGCTGCGCGCCTGCGCGGGACTCGCCCGACTGAGGGAGCTCTGCGGAGCGCGGGGGGGCTTATAGTGTGCCCATGAAGTAATGTCCCCTCACGCTCCGGCCGGTGTGTCCCGAGCCGAGAAGAGTCCGTGTTCAGGACTCAGGGAGCGAGGTTGAGGGGAAGAACGCAGCAGGGTGTCGCTGCCCCTCTTCTGTCGGAACAGGTGCTTGCATCCACACCTCGCTCCAATCCCGCGGGCGCGGTGTTGTCCTAGCAACATTTCTGCCTTCGTGGGCAGCAGAATCAACCGTCCCGTGTATCTGGCCAGCTGCGGAGCCTAAGGCATACAGAACCAATTCCGGACAGTGTTTAAATGCTGGCCTCCAGTTCTACCCCACTGCAGCCGCCTCACAGAGCACATGGGTTTGAAACCAGTCAAATTCGTAATCCAGGTTTTGTTGTTCCCTGTCAGTATGAGATGCACGGTCAGACTCCGCTCATGAAGCAAGCATGTATCAAGACTGTCTTGATCTAGCCTGGTCTGATACTTCGAACAGAATTGGTCTTCTCCTTTACAAACATTGGGCTTCAACATTATGCCATTCTTGGCATTTCACAGAAATAAACAGAAGAGCTTTAGCTGAAGAGGAGGCATTACATTTTCATTGCAGACAGAAAGAAACCCCTACATTGCTGTGAAAAACAAAGTTCGCTGTACTGGTAAATTTTAAAAGGTTTAATAAACGGCAATAGGAGACAAAGATAACAAAGCAAAGGGTTAAAATGGCCAAGTGCTTGGCACTCTGCCAACAATACACCTGGTGTTTTGGTAACACCCTTTATACACCATTTCTATTGCAACAACTTGATGCATATTCATAGGCTTCATGCATATTCAAACTTTTCTATTAAATAGTTTACATTTCCCGGGATCTATTTTGCATGGCCACTCTTTGGATCTGCCTTTTTAGAGCATGCGCATTTCTTGGCTTGTGGTTTTAATACCTTTCTTATCATCTTTTAATTTGGGCTTTGGTTCCTTCTTTCCACAGGCAGTGAGTGTTGATAGCAGTCAGGTCCCCATCATCTGTTCACTGGAGTTTATCCTAACTGGCAGGCAGTTCAAACATACCATATCGACTATTACCACTTATGCCTAAATTTTTTGCTAATAGCAAAAGAATTTATTTGCTAATAGAAGAGAAAAAAATACATTCATACAGGAAAGCCATTTTAACATTATACATTTAACATTCATTTTAATACTTGTGAAAAGCCAATATTATAATATGTATTTATAACAATCTCCCCTCTTCTGTTTTATAAATCATTTGTCTTGAGCAGTAATTCTGGTTTTCTGGCATCTATTATTCACTCTTTTTTTTTTTCCCACAAATCAATTTAGCTTCTTCAAGAGTCTTCTGTATTATTTTGTTTCTTCAATACCATGATCTTTTGTGCTGTTCCAGATGCAGCCAATTTTGGGTCTATAGGCATTGTTACCACCTGTATGCCTTGGACTATACTGGTTATTAGCCGAATTAAACAGAGGATCAAGCAAGGAAGAAATATTAAACTAGCTGTAGCACATAAGAGGAAGAAACCTAGCTTCTTCCACCATTTTATCCCAAATACACTATCCCACCAGCTAGTGGTCAGCATTGATTCTCATTTCTGTCCTGGTACATGGGCTATTTTTCTGATATTCTTGGCGATATCTAGAACAGCATCTCCGTTGTCATCAATTTTTAAACAACAATCTGATGTATCAAATTTCCCACAAACACCTCCTTCTTCAGCCAATAAATAGTTTGAGGCCAACCTATTCTGATACACTGCAGTTCTGAGTTGGCATTGCTAACTAACTGTTAATTCCATGGCTCCAGCTGTTTCATTAGTTATTATTTCTACAACAGCTTGGAGACCTATGATACAATTTAGGATATAAATTTGGGTTCAATATCCCCAACTTCCATCTTGTGCCCATATGTTTCCTATATGCATTCAGGAGGCCATGTCTCATTCCCTCATTTTTTAAATCCTTCAATCAATTCCCTTTTATTTCTTTTTAGGTCTTCATAAACTGGTACTCCTAATTGATCTTCATCTAGTCCTGGTAAGAGGCAAAACTCCGTCTGAATGATTCCCAGGGTACAACTCCCTTTCCACTGTGAAAGGAGTCTTGAGTATGTTCTTTCCCCACATATCCAAAATAAGCTATTTGGTGCTTTCCAATAATTATTTTTTTCATATTGATTTATATTTTCCTAAAATTTGGATATTTCTGGCATTCTAAAATAATGATTTTTCCTGTAAAATTCATTACATTGGAAGAGCCTGGTTTCATTATCACACTTCCAATTCTTTTCTTTTGTCTTTCTCTGAGTCCAATACAGAGTTGATTCCTCTGGGATCCACCATGTAGAAGTTCCATTACTAACTTTTATACCTTTTTCAGGGAGTATTTATTACTTCGTTAAGAAAATTTTTCCCAGTACACCAGAGACATTCTTCCCTTATCACTGCTGAACTTAGAACCCACCCTTCTGGTCAGCTCCCCTCTCTTATATTTGTCTGGTTCCACTTAAGGAGTTCCACTGAGCTTAAACTACTGCCTTTCCATGGCCATTCCTCTGTCATCAAAGCCCCTCCACAGACCCAACAGTTGGTTATGTTAAGTTCCTTACTTACCCTTTCCCCTAATTCCACAAACTGGTTCTTTCCCAATCTTGAGATATCTATTTCCCTGTTTAACTGCTGTTTAAGCTTTGTATACAGGTCTTGACATGAGGTTAATACAGGGCTAGATTGCTGTGCTGGCTTTGCCTTTTTGCTTACCAGTTGTTCTTTTGCCAAATCTTGGACTTTTCTCCCTACTGGCAAATGTGAAACAAATCCATTTCTCTCCTTTTGGACATGCGTTTCTCAATCTGTTACCACTTGTTCCTAGATTTTCTGCAATTCAATATTTTTTCCCATTTTGCATACAAGTACTTAATTTGATTAGGTCATAACAGTGACTGTTGACATAGGTGTGAGTAATAAAAAAGGAACTGCAGTGTTTTTCCATGTAAAGCTTTCAGTAGCATTTGTAACATGGCCTTGCCAGTGTCTTGAAAGGGAAAAGACAAAGATAAGTGACAGAAGAAGGACTAACAGAGGTCTGGTATGTCTTATACTCCCACCTCCCATGCCTATGGGGTTTCTAGCCCATAAGAGGTGTATATGATCTTGGTGGCAAGTAAAGCAGCCAACCTGGTCTTGCTCTCTATTTCTTTGTCACTTCCTTTTTTTGCAATTTCTAGGTAAATTGTTTTTGACACCTCTTAACCAAAGTCTCCCACCATTCCTCAGGTATTTCCTATTCAACAGGAACTAGTAATTCCCATCCACAAAGCAAAGTTATTATTTAAGTTGTTCTTAATAGATTTGGCATACAACACTTCATGCAATGAGAGGCTTAACTTCATGAACTGCAATACCAATTTTTCTACAATTTAAACATTTACTTTTAACCCAGTTAGTATGTTCAGTATTGGCATGATTCAGTCAGGGAATATGGTATGGCACTCATGAAAATTGTAATCCCCCCCCACTTCTTTATATAAGTCACAGGCTAAAGCCAGAACATGAGGATCTCTTGACTGAAACAGTCCTGATCCTCCTGTTTGAAGTGGAGGTATTCTTCCCCAAGGTGGGTATCAAAGGTGTTTCAGAACTTGTCCAGGCAGCACTCAAAACCAATGATATAAGCTTAGCCTTACTTCCTGGATTGGCGTGATGCTTTGTACATTCCTTGGATCATTTGGATTGCCCCAGTTCATTACTACCCAGTCCCCACTTAAGTGTCAATTTGGTATCACCTGGTTTAGATGTTACAGTCCACTCTTCAGGTTCTTTCACTGGTCTTTTGATTGGCATGGATCCACCCTCGTTCCCTGGTGTGGGTTGCTGCTTCAGTTGTCAGCAGTCTGTTATAAATGATTAGTCAATTTGATTAGTAAAAAGAAGAAATTTATTCTATAATCAAATTACAATCATAAAAACGAAACCATAAGCAAAAATCAGTTTGGCGCTGTGCCAGGTGAACAGCACTGGGTGAGACAGGAAGGAAGCTATCTGCAGCACTTCCCCACCATGCTTCACAAACTGCAACTATCCCAAGGTGCTTTTTATATGTTTTCAGGCTCTTCGGTGGTCCTTTAGAATACACTGCTTGCATACAAATATTCATGCTGGGCATATATGTTGTAATTTCGTCAGGTTTCTTGGAAATGCACTTCTTGCAGATGAATATTTATGAGTGCAGTCTTATCGGATGGGGGTTTCTTGGAGATATGCCCCTTGCAGATGAATATTCATGTTGGCCTTGCTGCATATCACTATAATCTCGTCAGGGAAGGTTTCCTGGAAATATGCTAGGATTCTTGTCAGACAAGATTATAACTTTAGCACGAATTTATTCATGCCATGTATCACAAGCAGTACTTGAACAGTACGTCTCAATAGCACAGGGACAGTGAAAACATCACATTAGGATTTTCCATCAAAATTCTCAAAAAACTTTTGGGTTTTTTAAAAAAAGCTTAACAGTAAACGTAGAGGCAATTTTTTCTTTTTGTGAGCTATAACTAGTTAAACAAGACTAGGTTAGTCTTGACATCAGATGAATCACTTTTATTACCTTTCCACCCTCTGGGTAATATCTAACTGTTCAGCGTCACAGACTTCTTTTAACAGTTTCTTAGAACAAATAAAAAACAAAAAAAAACAAAAAAAACCCCTCCTCTTAGCAACGAGAGGGAAAAAAGAAAAAAAAAGGAGGAAATATAAATCTGGCTTTAAGAAATCAAAATTAGAGAACTTGGCAAAGTTTGGAGAGCTAGGGAGAGATTAAGGCTAGTTTTTCCTTGGTTTTATCACTCTTTGCTCTTTTTATGCACAGCAGCTCTTTCAGGCTGTCCTTTACTCCTCCCCTACTGCTGCAGCGGCTCCAGCCAGGGCAGGGTCTGTTTTAGCAGCTCGCTCTGCTCTGCGGGTGTGGGTTACTCATAGACCTGCATGGGGACCCTGGGGGCAAAGCCTGTGCCCCGCCTCCCTCTTCTGCGCTGTCCCCACACACGCAGGACTGGCATGCTCAGCACACCCAGCCCCCGCCAAAGCTGAGGCAGTAGCGCCTGGAGAGCACAGCGCTGGGCTTCAGTGCTCGGGTCTGGGGTCTCTGCCACCGGGCCAGCCCACTCTTCAGTGGCAAACCACACAAACTGGGCCCAGCGCCGCCGCCGGGCCGACAAGCATGTCCGGCAACCTTGCGCTCCTCGAGACCCTGGCACAATCTAGGCAGGTCCCAACCCCAGCAGCACCCCTCACAAATCGGGCCCCGCTGGCCACCAGTCAGACAGACCAGGCCTCGCTACTGCCTCCGAGATCCCGCTGCTTGCATAGAAGCAGTCAACTCCCAAACGTGGCAACCCCCAACTTGGCATCTCCAGGTGTTCCCGGTATCTTCCTTGTCTGGCACAACTTCTGTTCTTAATTGTATTTGCAAGTCCCCTCCCAAAAAGTTAATGTCTGTTCCAGGAAGTAATAAGACATCTCTTGTTCTTCCTCTAATTTCTACAGCTCCAATGACAGGAATCTCAAACCCTTCTTTCCCTGCTACCTTTACTGTGTTACCACTTACACCACATCCTTCTGGAATCTTTACCACGTAAGTTCTTTCATAAATTCTAATACTTCTTCGTGGGGGCCCCCAAAGTTATCAAAGGCTTCAGATGGCACTCTACTCCCAAAAAAAAAAAATAAACAGAGCTTACTTCCTCCCCACTCTCTCCCTGAATGCATCTCCTGGAATTTTTCCAAACCCCTCTCCAAACATCACTGCTCTTCCCAAAATTCCAGATTTTAAGCAGAGACAGAGCCCACCACTGCAGAAACCCACAGCACAACCACACAGAGAATTCTCCAGGGACCCAGAAAAACAAGAGCTGCAGCCACAGAGTGCCCCCAGATTGGAGCTGACACCACACGTTAGCACAGCTCCGCATCCCACTCACACATCAGGCCAAGAAAGAGCTCTCTGAGATAGTCCCATATTAGTCCCCACTCCCAGAATCACAGAACTAAATGTGTCCGAGGCGCTACAAGACCCCGGCATGGAAAATTCAGGTCCCAGAGGAACCCCTTCAAGTCTTTCACCATTTGAAGTAGGGACAGGGAACAACCCACTCCACAGCACGTTTCTGACCAGTTTCGCAGCTTCAGTAGGCTCCCAGGAGACATTGAGAGCCCCCCTGATCCACCTGCACCTGGAGCAGGGAGCAGGGAACCCATACCAACATGTGGGGCTCAACCAGCCCACCTGAAGCCACCGGAAGAACCGGACCAGGGTTCTGTGGGCTGGAAACAGCCCTAAATGAGTCTAAATCCATGGGCACCAAGATCCAGACGGCCCCTGCCCTCACCTCACCTGAGAGGGAAGGGCTAAATTCATTCCCAGAGCACCCCCTATGACCCAGCTGCACTGGAGGACCTGTGGAGTCCGACCCGACCCACCGCTATCAAGGGCTCCAGGAGTCCCACTCCGCTCCTAAGGCTGATCCACCACTCCAAGTGATGCAGCAGGCAACATCTCCTCAGGGAGTAGCTGTGGTTGTCACCCTGAGAATCAGGCCTTCAGTATTGTTTTTCTGTAAGTTCTAGCCACTTTCCCAAGGAAGTAACTATAAACATAGGTGTTTATACATTCCATTAAAGATAAGCCTTTTGATGGACGTCTCTCACGGCCAGTGCGGTTGGGAAGGTGTTAACCTGACTATTCAATCCTTGGTCGTGGTCGGAAGCCTATAAACACTGAAAAAATAAACTACTCTCTTTCACCACACCTCAAGCTGAGGTCATGTGACTTTTTTTTTTTTTTTGTCCAACAGTGACATCTGGTGGTCGCGAAGTGTATTGCAGGTGACGGTTGCAAGGTACTGTCTAGCCCTGGGGCCATGGCTGCCTTTGGGTTTTCTCCTACAGAAACCTTGGCTGTGGGGGTTTGGCATGCTGTTTTTGATCAGAAACGGACTGATATTTCGGATGCTGACTTTCAGTGGTTCTATGCTAATGGGAAAGATGAAGGTTTTTTTCCTGTGGTTGAGGCGGTTTTTTTGAAGCCGGCTTGGGACATTAGGCAATTCCCTGGTCTGGGCAATGTCTGTAGCATACGATCGCCACTTGGTCCAGTTGCTGCTGATCTGGCGGCAGTGTGACTTCACTCTGAACAGTTACGCGTCCTCTTCTGCCGGATCGCTACCCACTTTCTCCGACCTAGATGAGAGAAACGGCTCTGACTCCAGTTGTGGGAGTGGGGCAGAGCTCTCCCTCTCCCCCAGTGACGCAGAGCCGGGGGGCAGCTGCATCTCAGGTCAACCTGGTCCAACTGAGGAATGCCCAGCACCTCTCCGCATGGAGCTGCTGGCACCGATCCTTGGGTTCTGTGTCCCATGTTAGGGGTGATTCCGAGCTCTGCTCCTCCCATGCATGGGGACGGGTCCGGCGAGTGATGCGGATGCTGGGCCAGCTTCTGCCAGCTTTGTGGTGCGAGTTTCCCCTCCTGCAAGACTGGGATGCCCCCTGGCAGCGGAGAAGGATGGTGCCGCTGCTCCACTACCTGCATGGTCCCCATGCTGGAGGCGGGCCATGCTGAGCTGGCTCCACCCTGCCCCTCCTTAGGTTCCTGGGCATCACCTGAGCCTGCAGCTGGAGAGGGGATGCCCCTGCCGCCTCCTGTGGCCAAGGCGGATCAGGGTTCTGTGTTGTTTACTATTGGCTCGGGTAGTGATGCTGCGAAGGCGAAGCCAGTGGCCCCCACAGGCAAGGGGTGTCGCCCTGAAAACTCAGCTTCTGAGCTTCCTAACATCCCAGGACAGTAACTGTAAACATAGATATGTGTACATTCTTTCTGTTACATGTCTTGTGATGGGCATCTCTCATGGCCAGTGCAGTGAGAAAGTGTTATCCTGACCATCCAATCCCTGGCCATGGTCAGAAGCCTATAAATCCTGTGAGGAAAAATAAACTCTCTCTTCTTTTCACCACACCTCGACCTGTGTCCGTGTGATCTGTTCATCTTCAGCGGCAACACAAGGGGTCCTGAGCTGCTGGAGCTTCTTCGGCTGGCCTGTGGACTCTGCCCTCCTGCCAGATGACTGTGCGGCCATGGGATCAGGCATGATTTTGGGATGCTGTGAAGTCTAAGGTTGATGAGGTTGCTAGCTGCGATACTGAGCATAGCCCCCTAGACTGGCATCTTTATCACAGCACACATATAGGGTTTTACAGGGTCCGCGGTCTAAGCAAGTTACCATTGGCTAATGCACATAGGTTTACATTTTTTCTCCTGTACACAAGGATATTGTTTTGCTTTACTCTCTCTTCTGTAGGAAAGTTTCAAGGACTTTAGCCTTTAATATCACAACTTATTTCAAAGACTGGTTTGTGCAGACAGGCCTTTACTAATATATAAAATATATCAACACCTCTCTCTCATCAATCTCAGTCCAAGGGGGAAAATGGACCCAGCCACAAGTGTCCCATCAGGACTAGCATGCAATTGTGAAAAACGAGGTTCACCTTTCTGGTATCATTTTAAAAGTTTAATTGAAAGAAAATTAGGAGACAGAGATAAAATAAGATGAACAAATACGGCTGGGTGCCTCAGCATTCAGCCAAGAGCACACCTTACTAACAAAGAATTGTCTCTTAAAAACACCAATCTCTTGCATATTCATAAATTCTTATGCATGATTGAAACATTCCTCTTAATTTTTACATGTTCCTTTGTTTAGCTTCAACTCCCCCCTCCCCAATAGATTAATCTTCTTGGGTCTGTTGAGTCTCACAATCCTGGATAACAGAGCTTCAATAAATTCCTCCTTTGGAGCTCTGGTCACTGCTGTCTTCATATGGGTAAGATAATCTAGGAATGCAAGGGGGGAGTTTCTGACTATCTTTTCATTTTCTGGGTTATAGGAACAAAAGCAGTCTTTATTTTAATACCATACTATAGCCTAAAAAAATATATATATGTGTTGCACCACTATTTCTTAAGTTTTGTACAGCAAAATTTTCCAACATTATACATATGACATTAATTTTAATATTTGCAAAAAGCCAATAATATAATATGTACTTATAACAGGGAGAATTCTTTTTGATAGATTTCTTGGATGACATAAAGCACAAATGCAGCTGTATTATATCTGAGAACTGTTTATTGGTAAAGAAAGATAAATTTTCCTACTGAAGTGGGATAGAAAAGGGAGTAGAGAGAGGAAAAGAGAGAGATGGAGAGAGAAATAGAAGAAAGGGACAGAACATCACTGCTGTAGCCTGGGACGCCCCATCAGCATCTGGTTGGCAGATGGAGTATATGTGCTGCAAGCTGTGGTGAGTCTGTGCAGCTCTTGTGACTGACTAGGGGTGGCTTCCCAGCCATGGCAGGGTTGTGTGTCTCCTCTGGATGCAAACAATGGCTGTGGCCTGGCTGCTGGGCAATGTGGGAAAAGCACTGGTGGCAATGGCCATGCGCTGAGTGCAAGCAGCTGCGAAGCAGGTTGTTGTGGTGACGGGCTACCTCAGGGGTGTGCAGACAGGAGGGACAGGCAAGGAAGAAGCAGGACAGCAGGGAGAAAAAGGCGGGGGAGGCAAAGGAGGGGGGCCAAACAAGTTAAACCTGAGGGTAAGACCCCATTCCCTCCA